AACATTTGTTATTTGACTAGTTTAAGCTCATAGATCAGAAGTCCGAGCTGGGCAATAGTTCACTTGATGGCTGCAGCTGTGAAAAAAAAAAGAGTCCATGGGCACCAAACTAACCTTTTAAAACCTTACCTAACATTACCTATCCTATAAAAATCTTAAAACGGCAGTGAATATGTTGCCATGACCGGCTAAGTTCCTACTACGGCTATTTTACTGCGAGTGCGCTCTGATTGGTTAATCATCCATTATCAGCCAACAACACGAGAACTATATTTGACTATGACGGCATTTGGCATTTATTTCACCATTGTGTAGCTATAAACATACCTAACCATATTTCTGTTGTGCATGGAAACATTATAAAAGAGGTAACATTTACTAGAACCTAATAGGACCTGAACTAACCAACCAATGAAACCTACCTAACATTACCTAACTTCCTAACCAGGGGGCTCCGACCCAGCCATATTAAACAGAAAGTACCGTACTTAGCCAATCACAGTGCTCTCAAGGTAAAATTGCGTTAGTAGGAACTTAGCCGGTCACGGCAAAATATCCATTGTGAAAACTATAAAGCACTTTTTTTAGTTTTAGGATTTTTGTAGGTTAGGTAAGGTTTTGAAAGGTTTGTTTGGTATTCATGGACTCTGTTTTTCGCAGCTGCGGCCATCAACTGAAGTATTACCCCGAGCTACAATAAACCAATGTATGGTGCAATGTATGGTGTGCCCTTCATGTCGAATCAACTAATATAACAACAATCACGACTGAACTATTTCTAATGTTAGTAAGGACAGACTGGTTAGTTCGTGCCCAATGTTCGCTGTCACTCACGTTTTGGTTCAGACTGAGCTAGATCATTTGGATGTGGAATGGTACCAGTAACATCTTGCTCAGAGCAAAGGGTCAGCTGGATTAACTATAAACAAGAACTCTTCCTCAACACACAAACTGGTACCAACTTTGAAGAACCTGACCTATGAAGAAAGAATAAGGAAGCTGAAATTACCCATGCTAGCCTACAGATGAGCAAACGGAGACATGATAGAAACATACAAGATTCTGTGTGGTGTGCGCGACCCGAAAGTGTCAGGATATTTTTATATTGCGACAGGACCAGACAACTAGAGGACATCACAAGAAAATATTTAAGGGTAGATCACGACTAAACAAGAGAAACAACTCGTTTTGTAAATGAGTAATAAATAATTGGAATGTGTTACCCCAGTATGTAATTGGATCTAAGTCAGTCTCAACTTTTGAAAAAAATTTGGACAAGGCTTAATTACAAAGCTAAAATTCAGTTAAATAAAATTATTTCGACCGCCACCACCACATACTAAGCTGTAAGTTTAGAGCTGGATACACAGACGTAGCAGCTTCTTCAATAAGGTCATCTGTATATGTAACAACCCCAAAGCAACAAGGAGGTTCTCTTACCTTCAGCTTCAGCATGTTCCGATTGGGATTCATGATGTTTACAGTCTTCATAGAATTCTTCACGTTCCTGTACATTAAAGTACCATGACACTCACACAATATATCCTCAGTGGTACATAAAGTCTTGGACCGACTGACTCACGCCGTACATGTAAACATTGCCGCCGGGGATTTAAACAGTGTTGCCATATGTAAACATTGCCGCCGGGGATTTAAACAGTGTTGCCATTTGCCAAATAGTACCCGCTAGACTAGTCTCCTAAAAGCGCTAGATTGAGGCCCAATCCCGCTTGATTTTTTCTTTTGAACGTTACTACAAACAATGATATTATTAACTTTGAATTACTACGATATAGATATGATACATATCCAAAATATTGTTTAAATGAATTACATACACATGCCATTACATGTATATATGTAAGCCATCCCACTAGAAAAGCGCTATACAAATCTCCAGTCTTACTAATTAAGATTCCTGCTAGCCCTTAGATCCAATTTTCTCCCACTAGAATAATCTAGATTAAAAACAAAATATTTTCGGGAACCACTTATGAACTCTTCGATTCAATGTAACAAACAAGTCTCCCAGTTTTCTGCTCAAAGTTCGAATAAGCAGTGTTGTACCACACAAACGTTGCCAACTCGGCGTATTCTATGGGATTTAATACCTTTTTTTAAGCACGATACCACTTTGTAAACACTGTAATGTACGGTAGTTATTACTGTTCTCTTCATTATTCCGATCTGAGACTGGTATCATATGTTTAAAAACATATTGGGGTGCATATTTAGATTTACAATGATGAATATCATCCAGGGTCCACTACTCCTTGTTGATCATTTGCGTCTCTTGAGTAACATCAAACGCATCCTTATGTTAGTTTTCTACAAGATTTTGTTTGTCTTTATTCTTTTTAGCTTTTGTCACAATGAAAGATAAATTACAGTATGACAGGGACAGTATTTTCCGGTTTAAGTGACTGAAGCACAATAGAAAATGTATAATTTTCCTCTGCTTGAAAACCGTATAATTCTTTTATTGGATAACAAGAATGGAAACATACGAATATGAATGATTAATGAATGATCACTTCTAAATCTAACTGAATTAAAACTTAAGAAAAATCTACACAACAATTTTGGTAGAGGGTAAAAGTAACTGTTCTTTAACCCTTTGTTAATACTTAATGAATAATTGGCCATAATGTTCTTTAGGAACTTGCTTTAAAAGTTTACTTTGTACGTTCCTTGAATAGTGTACTGTACTTTTACCCAAATCCAGGTCGTAAGTCAAAAATGCTTAAATAATACATAGAAAATCTAAAATGGGTGTCTCTTTTTCTTCTCAGCACTACAAAACTCTCACTTTTAAGCTTGTCAGCCATTTTAAAGTGAATTACAAACGAAAATTTTGTCAGTACACAGCGCAATCACTAACGTTGGGACTTGAAAATACGTAATTCGACAAAATTTTGCTATGACTGAGGCGGTCGTAGGTCAAGGAGTAGCTGTATATAGCATGAGAATACAATAAACACAATAAAAATACCTGCATATAAATAAAGACAAATACAGTATACCTGTAGTTGCTACATCATTGAGTGCAAGTGCTTTGTGATAACTATGAAGAGTGGGTGGTTGCCATACATGTGAGGCAGACACTAACCTCTTCTGATAGGCCAAGCTCTCTTTGTACTACATGTCCTCTGCTCTCATGCATACAAACTCTTAGTCCAGATGTAAAAAAAATAAAAGATGTACAGTGCAGCTACTGTATATCCTACAGTACAGCCTTAAAACCTGGCTCTCCTCTTCAGCAGTGTTCGTTCTATTTGGTATTTTTTTGTTCAATACAATCTAGTATCATCTACATTAAACACCAACTCTGACAAGTAACCTCCTCAATAATGATGTTTGTAATTCTGAAATTTCCCAAGTCGAATGCTCATAAGTTGAGGAGCACCTATATAATAAACATTTTTGTAATAAATATTGAAATTAAATTAAGTCATTATACAGCACTGTACAGCAAACACCCTGTACTGTACTTAAATCTAAACCTTGAGCTGTGCATTATAGGACTTTTAGTACATCACTCAGGGGTCATATCCTCAAGGTCCTTATTTCCCATTAAAGCAGCTCTTGCCAACAGCAGTTTTCCTAATCACAGAAGAATTCTAGAGCATACCACCATGGCTGGTGAGGAGCTACTATATATACTATGTGCAATTTGGATGCAACTTTAATAATTTCACATTAACTTTTGGAAATTAATTAATATTTAATTATTACAGTACAGTACTGTATATAATAATGACATTTACATTGCAAGACATAATACTGTATACTGAATGTTTGTGTTGTCAGTTACTCTATCTATATCTCTTAGTAATATGTTTATAATAGTAAATATAAAAACTTTTTACATGAATACAATTGAATTTTTTTTTAGTAACATTGTAAATACTGTACTTGTCTTGTAAGAGGAATCTCAGAGGCATTTAAATTTTTTTTTTTTTAAATAAATACTTTTACCATTGTTCTCATAAAAACATGCAACGTGTGTTCAGGGTCGGTGTTTAATTTGTAAGCGATAATCATTTGATATACAGTACATGAAAACTTCATTCCTATTACACATCATCACAGCAGACGTACAGTTGCTAAAACAACTACAGTATTTGTGCAGGTGGGGGTCGATATGCTCTGAAATTTTACGTGTGACTAGTGACAGCCCTCGTATACAAAAATTTATCGTCCATGGTTTCGTATTGTTTCCCACAAAGTATGCACAGATAGTTGTTTTAGCTACTGTATATACAGTATTCTGTAATAGCTAATATCTCTTCTACAAAACAATGTTAAAAATCTGCTTTTTATTCTATACTGTACAGTACGATTATATCCCCATGCCAATTATTACTCAAAATTGTGTGATTGTTGGTGTACCATTAATTAACATTATACGATTTATGCTATTTTACATTAGTACTTGGTAATAAATACTGATGTCTCACCTTCAAATATCACAGATCATAAGGTTTTCTACAAGTTTAATTTTTGTCAGTACAGTAGTTAACATTGTTTTCTTGAAACAATGCAATGGCAGTACAGTACTGTACTTTGTATACTGTCCTGTCTTTATGTCAGTACATGTATATCTTTGTGTTTCCAGCAGTGAGATAACCCAATTTTACAGTACCCTGTACATACTCATGTATAGTAGTGTTTATGTTTTTAAGTTTTAATGTACTATCAAATAAACAATTTTACTTTCTGCTATCACCTTGGAAAAAGAGGGGTACAGTACAGTATACAAAAGAGGAAAATAACATGCAACTTTAAAAGAATGTAAAACAGAAATGGGATATAATTAATGGTGAATTTATAGTGCAATATGATTGAGAAGGTAAGATATATCTGATATCAACCAATGTTAAAGGAAAACAAAATTATGCATTAAATTTTGAAAATAAATAAAAAAAGACAAATATGAATAAAAAAATAGTTACTTTTTTAAGAAAACTGAAAAAGAGAAGAAAATATGAATAAAACAATTTTTCCATTAAATCATTTTATTGTCATTTTTTACACTGATTATCTATTCAACGTATCACAGCTCACAAGTTGGAGAAGAGATGGTGGCAGAAGCTAGTCCCGGGGGCCGGCTAAGCTAGTGGCAATTACCTAAAGTCAACAGTGTTTGCTCATCTGGATCTATAATATTCATATATAATCAGTATAGGAGCACCCTAGACAAGACAAAACTGCCTCCTAACACAGTGGCTTCAGCCATGCTGTAATTTAGGAGTTGAGGTGAGATACTGACCTGGATGGCAGTATTTACCATGACGTCAAGAGAGGCACCAACGGGAGGGCCAAGAAGCCCAAGTGAAGTGAGTGAGGCACTGCCTGGCCTGGCACTGCCCAGAGTGGTACCTGCTGACAGCCGGTGGTGGCCCCGGAACTGCTGCCGGTGAAGTATGTAATAGGAAACATATCAGTGTTTCTCTTCCACTAAGCGAAGAAAAGGCCCGTTGGAAATGACTCTCAAAGACTCTTCTACATCTAGAAGCTTTGGCTTTTCATTAAGAAAACGTACATATAAATATATTTATTTACATCATTATATACATCCAAATATTCCTTTATACATGTACACACTCCTCTGACCGAAAAAGGCACTTCCTCTAATAGCCATTCAAGTTTATTGGTGTGATTCTGAAGCGAAGTTTAGAGCATTGTGGCACTGAGGCTTAACCAAATAATGAATAACTAAACACTCAACTCTGGAATGTACCACACTCAACAAAAAGAGAACACTTCTTACATACATAAATCACAAAGGCTTCAACACCAATTTCACAGAGCTACAACAGTTCTGTGGCACATAAACAAATGAGACCAATAAATAAAACGTACATCGACTAGTTATCATAGTTGCTAGTAGTGACGTCCATTCTTGCCACTAACACAACTGTGGGATAATGCTTTGGTAGCAGTCTTTTTCCTGCTTTTATTACACTCAAGCTTCACTTATAATGGCAATTAAGATTCACTGAAGTTTTGAACATAAGATGCAATTATATGATAAAAATGCCTTGCACCACCAAGGATTACACCAGCTGTAGATATCAGCCACACAAAAGGTGACATGGTTCAAGAAGTCACCAGCTGGTAAGAACAAGTGGAAATACAAGTCTAAAAGACACTTGCTAAGTCTGCAGTCTGGCATTAATATCCATTATAAGGATAGTCAAAATTGTTTATTTCAACTCACTAACACTCACTAAACTGCTGGGGTCTGTACTGACTGGGGCGAGACACAACAAGATGTGCAGGATAGCCATTGGTGGCAGGGGCTGCCTGGGACACAACAAGACCACGTCCACTTCCTTCATGTATTACTGGCAGACTCTGAGGAGCCTGTGGATTTGAAGGTGAAGTCAGACGGCACACAACTTGCTCACCATTCAAAACTGCCACTGTCATCAAATTCTCTCGTGAGAATTGCTGCTGCGCTTGCTGCAGCTGCTCCAAGTCTCGGCTCATCTGTGCAGCATTGAAATCCCGTAATCTTTCTTCACTAAGGGCAAACTGCTGGTCTTGTGGACTCCTGGCAAAATGATGACCTTGTGCATGATGATATGGCAGCAAGGGTCGAGCATCACCATAGCTACGTGAGGATTGTCGGCTCATATCACTAGGAGTGCCACGCTTCACATCCTCATCTGAGAGGTCAGATACTTGCATAGTCTCTTGACCTGCTGGAGTCCCAACTACACCTCCAGACCGACCTACCCAACGTTCACGTTCAATCTCCTCATACACAGGGTCAGCTTCAGTCTCAATCTCCATGTATGTATGATTCCATGGAGAATGAGAACGTGCAGTGTTGGCATTTCCTCGAAGCATTGCAGCAACAGCAGGAGGAACAGAAGCTGGAGAGAGCTGCGTTGTATAGCTGTTGGGTACAGTGATAAGCTTGTTTCCACTCTCCATGTTGGGGAATGTGAGCCCACCATCTAGTCCACCTGCGGCATTGATACTATTAAGTTTAGCAAGATAAGCATTCTTGAGGTCTGCTGTCAAGGAGTTGGAATAACGGTGGTGGTGGTTGTTCCATCCAGCACGAGGAGAATCTTCTTGCTCAGATCCACCGTGACCAGAATCGCGAGAGAAGGATTTGTATGAGGCATCTTCATCCACATGATTAAGGGTGGCGTGATGAAGGTTGGTGGTGGTGGCTGTGGTGGTGGTGGTGGTGCGCGGGAGGGTGACTGTGTGGTGGCGAGGCAGTGACTGATGAAGAGTGCCGAGGGGTAGGTGGCCCGTGACCCCCTGGCGTAGAGAGCCCCCAGACCCCATCGTGGACGTGGCCCCGGACAGAAGGGGGCCCACAGGGGGGTGTGTGGTGTCCCCTGACGCCTTCACTCCTCCGAGTTGACACAGCGTTGGAAGATACTGAAAAATAAATTTGAAATAATTAGGAGATGCACTACATAATAAAATACATAAATATTCAGGTAGGAATATAAAACTACTGTTTAGGCTTTGACAGCAATTTAAGTACTAGAGTATTGTATGTGCAATATTCATCATTTACCCAATAAAGAAAAAACTAGCTACATGTACTCATTATATAATATACAGTATATATATAGCAGCATATGTATACATAATGTATATAACAAAGCAAGCAGTAAGACAGAAGACAAATAATAAAGCCAAACTTAAAATATAAGATGTGCAAGAACTGAGCTCAAGCAACTATTGTGCTATATGTGCATTTTAAGGCAGAAAAGAAGCTCCCCACACCATCACCACACACCATCACCACAGGACACATGGCGGGACAAGCAACACTCTTCAGGTAACACCAGCATTAGCACCAGCAGGAAGAGAGGAGGAATAAGCCAGGGCGCCCGGAATCTGACAGGGTTGATGTGTACCTGACGGTGGGTCTGCGGTTGTCATAGGCGCCACGGGGGGGCCAGGGGGACGTGGCGCCACACCTCGGGAATCTCTGGGGTGGTGGTGGTGATGCTTGTGTGGGGGTGGGGGACTTGAGGGATTCAAGGGGGGTAGTCCGCCTTCCACTGGTGTTGGAGGAGAACTTCTGGAGGAGGTGGAGGAACTGGAGGATGAGGTTAAGGATGGGGAGGTGGTGAGGGATGTGGTGGTGGTCGGGTCTCGGCACGAGTTACTACCCACTTGGTTGAGGGCGGGCGAGGCGAGGGCGTGATTGAGGGCGTGAGAGATGGCGGGGTGGGGGTTGGTGTTGTTGTTATTGGGGCTGTAGGTCTGCTTCTCGGCGGAAAAGACTCCCCGCACCACTTGCGGGAGCCAAGCTTCGCGTTCCGCTGCAGACCGACACCATTCCCGCACCTACGCGCAGACAGACAGACACGACGTTACTACAGCACTCACAAGAGCACTCTGCTATGCTACTCACAAACCACATTTATTATCAACATAATTTTAAGCTGAAGCAAAACATAAAAAGCATTAAGCAGCCACACAGCAAACTTATAATAAAAGTGGTAGTCCATGAAACTTTATTATAATCTACCATGCTTTAGCTACAACATAAATGGAAAACAAAATAAAACAATACATTACAAGAAAAAAATATAGTTTGGTGTAAGGACATGGGACGGCAACATAAAACAAAACAAATTTAGCGAGCCTTGGTCACTCGTCTTACCTTCTGGTTTCTGACGCAGTAATAAATGAAGATAAAGATGCCATGTAGAGCGTTGAGCACACAGAAGGCAGCAGCTATGGGAAGAGATGGTTGGTGGAGGAACAGGAGGCCAAGCGTCCAAGTCAGAACCATTAGCAGCAACAGAGTGATAGCACTTCGAAGCCATGCCCTGGGGAGATAATAACATTATTAACTCAAAACACAAATAAGTCACACACCCTGTACTATGCACTTCATAACATTGAAGCTGGGGTTAAGAATTAGCATTTAATCTGAATGTACCAATAGCCAAAAATATTCTTGAGATTATATGAGCCCCGAAAAGAAGATAATAATAAAGTTTATGAGTGACTGAATGTTGAATGCAGTACAAATAAAAATCCTGCCAGTTACCTTGACTGTCTTAAGCCATATAAGGGATGTAATTACATTTAAGACCCCTAGATTAGAACTAGGGTATACGGGGGGGTTACCCTTCCTAACATCTAAGGAATGCAATAAATTGATGGTAAAACTTATCCTAAAATGTTTTAAAAAATTTCTGGTCTAAAATACTTCATGGTGCAAAAACCAGGACGATGAGAATTTAGTGAAATATTGTAGGCCTAAACCACTTAAAATGGCAGATGACACCAACCAACCAAGCCAAATGTAACCTGATTTAACTAAACGATAAATTAAATTTGAGTTGATCAATTAGTTATAATTAATTGGTATGTTTTACCTTCTGTCAAAAATAATTCAAGTTCGATAACTTATTTACAAAATCATTACACATTTTCTTACTTCAATTTTTATCCATATTTTCCACAAGTATTTTTCACCCAATCACCACCAAGACTGTACAGTATTTAAAACTTGATAACTTGATTTTTTTACACAATTATTTTGCAATTAGTAATGTATTTCACAGTGATATCTCTAGGTCTATTATATCATTAAGATTCCTGACTGGGAGGTCATGAAAGTTCATGCATTTACACTGTATAAACGCTATCATTAAATATATACACATTTACTTCCTCAGACCTCCTTACCTACATATACACATATAGTGATGTACTACTTCAGAGCTCCTTAACTACCTACAGTACAAAGACAGCGCTCCACATGGAATTATTTTGTTTGCTAATAAGTAACAATGTAACATTAGCTTTGGTATATATTTTGTGGCTCATTCCATGGCCCCATAATGATCTCTGTTTTGATGCTAAAGATGTTCAAATGTAAATTCTATCAAATGATTCATAAAAGAATATTACTGAGTTCACTAGCAAGTATTCTGAATTAATTTTTTTGGCAAAGTTTGGGTAATTAGGCCTGTGGATTTAAATTTTCTTAGAATCAATGCTGATATTTAATAAAATTTTGAAGATGTTACAGACTTTACATAATTATATAATAGTGTAGCCATAATATTCCATGACAAGGTCAGTTATGAAATTTGTCGCAAGTCAAGTCAAGGTGTATTTGACAATTGGCCTATTCAGAAAACTGGTTCTGATCAGTGCATCACATACTTAAAAAAAAACCAATACAGTGCAAATAAAAAATTTAAAGAAATTTATTCGCAACATAAAAAGCATCCTTTGTTACTTTCCTGAAAATCGTAAATTAAAGTTCAGATTGCACATACAAGCATTGCAATTCAATACATAACCCAAATTCGATCATTTGCAAATGTTAACTTAGGTTAGGTTAGGTAAGATTTAAAATGACCGAATATAGTCATTTACTGTAGTATCAGCGATATATCACTGAGATCAATCAGAACGAATACTGGACAAATAACTTTAGCAAATATACTGTAGGTCCGTGACCTGTCAAATAACAACTGCCTTAATTTTTTTTTTTAATATATTACTTAGTAATAATATAAATAAATATTCACCTCATTTATAAGTAGATGGGCTAAGAGTTTGGAATAAGGGTGATTTACTGTATATACGACGGTATTAATAAAACAAAAAATCGAACGAAAGGTACTGTATATTTAACACAATCTGAAGCCCACATATCTATTTATCACCAACACTAAGAATACGGGGTCACTAGCACATGTCACACTCGCATTAAATTCTTACATTTTCTGCAGCACATCAGCTTGCCGTGAACAATCTTTTGGCGCTGTGAGCATCTTTGTGTTTACGGTATATTAATAACATGGTTTTTAACCTTATGGTCAGATAACAAAGGAAAGAAAAACAAATGAAAGAAAACGAAAAGAAAGCTACCTTTATAGTCCACGGGTAGCAATCAATGTCCTAATTTTGATCAAGCAAGATGTAGCCACTTTACTGTACTAGATTGGAAACATACACTGAAAAGTTAGAGCACTTGCATTATTTTGCAATGTTACTAATTTGTTTAGCCTACCCGACAACTATTACACGCATTTACTTACACTGGTGGCCAGAACATTTTTTAATTATTCACGCTAAAATAGATATGCTGTGTACTAAGTTTAAGAATAAGCGTGGTTGTCTTAAACGTCTAGACTTTTTCAAAAGGAAAATTTCTTTGAAAGATCAGGTGTGATTCTTTAGACGCCGAGGCACGAAGTCCTATATTTGTGTTTATAATTTACAAATAAAAATAGGGTATTAACTAACAAGTTCTATGGATTAAATTAAATGAAAACAGTATATATAAAATGAGAATATTCTAAGCTCCGTTACGAATTTTCAAACAGAATCAGTGCAATTGACTTCATTAATGTATGATAGCTTTAGAACAGGTAACCGGATGGTGGCGTCTTGGAACGCCGAGTGTTCTCGATGGGAGGGTAGCCAAGGGGGCTTTCATTGGTAAGAAACAAAGAGATAATAAGCCGCCAAGACATCATACACAACAAAGCAAAATGATTGGCTATTTTTCTCTAAGTTTTCATTGGTTGGAAACCTGCTCAAGGCAAATCTTCACGAGAAAAGTGACCAACCAAGATTTATATAGAGTATAGAGTGTGTGTGTGTGTGTCTGTGTGGCAAATCAACAGCCAACTCTTTTATTTTGTTTACAAAATACTTCTTACTGGGATTCCACTGTAATGAAAAAATAAATGTTGCAAACTTGGCAGCGATCTCCTGCGGGCAACGGCTAGGCTGCGGGAAGCTAAGTACCCAGCCACTCTTGTTTAACGACGGTAATTATGGGTTATTTTTATCCTGTTACTATGCAAATCGTCCGAGTGAGGTTAATTACGGAGCACGGCTAGCGTGGTCGGCCTGGGACACCCCGGATTTACGACATGCCCAACAAAAATGACACACGTACTGACGGGAAGCAATCTTGGACACTACCCCAGAGCTTTATGGACTACAAGAAGTTCGGCGACGGCTATACAACTACCACTACTACTAATATGAGCACCTTGGCTCCTGAAAATACGTAAGTACCCTACTGCGTATAAACTGTGGGCAGTACAACAGAAGTATGAGTTGACAAAATGTGACAATTATCCATAGCACCGGTTAGCAAAAGCCATTAGGGAGGAGGAACGTTATGCATTCAAGAGTGGAGTTATGTGGGCGAGTGCCTGGAGCAGTACAAACATGCCTGGGATCCGACTACTACTGGTGCTGCTCCCGTGACTTTCCTCCACCACTGTATGACCAGTAATGATGGGAAGGCCGTGGTGGCATTATTTCAAGAGTTTGTGTACTTGCTCTCAAGCACTAATGTTTCCTGTTGCTGCTGACCAGTTAAAACGTCCAATTACACACTTATGTGTAAGAGTGTGCTGTAATTCTTACTACATATTCATTACCTTTACGCCCTTTTGCAATGAATAAAAATGATGTAAAGTTGTTCAGTGTTACTTACAGAAGCACAAGGAGGCTGGTGGGCTCTCCAGTTGAACAACAAGGGCCTCGCTGATGGCCCGGATAACCTTTCTGGTTACTTAATTTACTTGCCGATAGTAAAGTGATAATGTTTCTAGAGATTAATGCTACAAAATAACGAGAGACAAGGAGCATAAAGCAATTAAAAAAGTTTTATGACTTTTGGGATGGTGTCAACACGGTCAACCAACCCCAGTGTTGCCAGTAGATTGGCAGAAGACGGCCGAGTTGAATGTTTATTTAACATAGTCATTAAAAAAAAAGGTAATATTCACAGCCAGTGGCATAAAACTGTACGTGAATGACAGAAAAAAACAAAAGTCTGTTATACTACTAAAAAAAAATATATGCACTGATAATGAGTGAGTTCACGAGCAGCACTTTAAAACGCCTACGGAAAAGAGTGATAACCACTCATTAACGACACCAATACGAGGGTAACCTGTGATTCTTCAACGGACTACACTAATATATCTCATCCCATCATACTCCTGGTAGTTAATAAGCGGGTCCGCGTGACTGTCAATTGAACCCAACGTTACAAATTAATTTAAGGCATAAAACAGTGGATTATACTGTAATGAGGTTCAACAGCTTGTTAAGTCTTGCTTAATGTTGCTGAAAAGTGTGTGTATGTGCGTACAGTAAACTCCCCCCCCCACACACACACATATATATATATATATATATATATATATATATATATATATATATATATATATATATATATATATATATATATATATATATAATGGGAATAACAGAAGCAATCCATAGATCAACCTGATACTGCTGGCAAACTACACAAATAAATAAGTTGTATAAATCGACAATATAAACAATAATAATGCCAATAAATATTCGTGGACCTTCATGAAATATAAATTCATGAGCAGAACACATGTGGTTGCTACACTGGCGGTGATGAATATGAATATGACAAGAATGATGGATGGATGATACATACAGTAGAAGCCAAAACACGCGAGAGGTAAGAACATAACAGAGAATTAATAGCCGTGAGGGAACGAAGTCAACAATGGAGGGTTCAAATATTCGGAGCAGCTGTTTCATAGGAGTGGTAACCTACGAAGCGACAAGCAGAGGCCACAGCACAAAACATTTAACATAATATAAAGCTGAAATACAAATACAAAAACAAATATGAAATCAAGAAAAATAATAAATAGTAAATATCCCCCGAAAAGTAATGAGGTATGTACAGAATAAGGGATACATCCAATTAAAATAGAGTTGTAAAGTTTGGAAGAAAAAAATAGTTTATATCTTGTGAGGGGTGAGCTGCGCTACACAGGACGAGAAACACTTGGTAAAGTCATGCAGAGGTGGAGACCAGTGTGAGGCTTACAGGCGGGAGTAGAGCCGGTGTTGTAGAGCGTTGGTGTACACGCCGCTGCCAGTGAGGGAGAGATGGTAGAGTTAGAGAGAAAGTGAGACACGGCCATCTAGAGTCTCTACAGGAAGAGGGGCGAGTTAGTTAACTTATCTGGGTACATAAAAGTATCTCTGAATAAACAAGACGGAATTTATTCTCTAAAGCAACCAGACGGCATTTAAAGGAAATGTCAAAGTGGTCAGAAGAATCTAAACACAGCAAAATTTTAAACAGTAAGAATTATTATCTTGAACAGAAGACCAACATTCAGGTGATTGGGGACTTGTGCGAGTGACGTGAGAGACTGAGGGGTCATAAAAGGATAGGAGGAGAATCCTCACAAGTGCAGTATGTTGTGAGGGAAACTGTGCAGGACCCACCTTGTGGAGTCGAGGCGGGCCATCTCCTTGGTCTTAAGAGCGTCGTCAGGAGAGAGTCTGCAGGTGTAGATAAGAGCTGCTGCTAGCAGCGCCACGTGAGCGGCCAGCAGCAACAATGCTGGACCCACCAGTGAAAAAACAAAGTAGTTGTCTGTACGAAGCCAGCAGTACTGTGCGGTGCCGTAGCTGAAGGGGTCGATGACGGCGGCAGCGGCTACCACCAGGAGGGGAAGGCCGTAGGCGAGGGTGTAGTGCCACCAGCGCAGCCGCAGAGAGTCGCACTCCACAGCCCGTGCCACGCTCAGATACACATGTACACCTGAACCATCACACCAGGAAGAAGGCATATTACTGTTTGATAACTATGACAAAAAATTATGTTTTCCAATAACAACGTTACGTTGACAGACATTATTATGGTGTTTTCTGACTTATACCGGTGACTGATAATAAATCATATAACTTACCTTCCATGAACATCCAAGCAAAAGCTGAGAGGACTGTGTAGTGGAGGATACCAGCCACGACGCCACATAGGACGGGAGCATCAGTGCGCCAAACACCTATTATGAAGACCAGCTCGGCTGCCGTCAGACATACACACACATGGCGGTGAACAGCTGTGCGCGGGGAAGCAAGTCCGCGGAACACAGAGAACACGAAGAGTGATCCAGCGACACACACTAGGCTCACGACACAACCCACGTAGGCCAGGATGCGTAGCGCCGCCTGAGGATCCTCACCTACACCGCCCGCTGCTTCTTCCATAAGCACTGCAAAGTTCGTCAAGTGGTCACACTGACATGTCACATGGGAACGGTTGTACCGCAACACACGACAACCTTCATCACTCCAGGCAGAGGTAGTGTAGTCCCAGAAGGCACACACTGGGCGTGTTACATTTTCTTGTTTTAGAAGTGCAAAGGTGAGAGTGACAGGCTCCGGCAACTGAATGTGTCGCCCACGACCTAGAGATGCCGAAACTACTCGTGAGTTGACTAAACGTGTGATGTTAGCAGGGCTGTGGCCAAGCGGTTCTGGCCCGGGTGTCAGAAGGTCCTCCAGGTGACGATAAGTGAGAAACACAACCCTTGTGGACCCACCATCACTGTTTTCAAGGATAGCTTCAGGGGGCAGTTTGACGGTGTCAGCGTACACCCAGTTTAGGGCTTGGTCTTCAGCAGATGGGAACTCGACTGAAGAGCCGTCCGCTGTAGCAGATCTTACTGATACTAGAACATGTGGTCTGTAGTGTGCCGCCTGGGTGCCTGAGGGCAATGCATCTGCCAGGAGGAATGAGGCTTCTTCCAGAGCCACCATGAGCAGGGTGACTGCGTGGCGCCTCTCTCGGACGGCCAGGTCTCCCCAGGGTCCTGCCATACCTGCTGCCAGTAATGCAGATCCCGTAGCGAGTGCAGCTTGCAGCATTTCCGTGACAAGGGCTTGCCGCTGTCGTGGGTCTGGGAACTCGCGTACCTGTTCCGCCATGCGAGTGGCCAAAGTGGAGAGAAGTCTGGCTGTGGTGGTGAGGTCACCACCATAGAGTGCCTTACTGGCCGTCACTGTGGCCAGATCAGCGGCCACGCCCAACAATGAGTCATCAGCGTTGGCACGAGTCTTAAGAGTGGCCAGCCAAACACTGCGACATTCACTTAGGTCAGCCGGTCCCGCCCAGTCAGCAGAGCGGCAGGGCCGCCGGGCAAATCCTGAGGCACCACCAGGGCAAGGCTGCACTGCCACTTCACCACCTCGCGTCCAGTTCCAGTACAATCCGCGACCAAACGATGGGGAACACCAGGGAGAATCGTAGTCGCCGTCGAAGTGTGGGGGAGGGACGGGCGGGGCCTGAGTACTGCTGGGCGGAGTAGTGGCGGGAGAGGTGCTGGCACTCGCGGTGGAGGTGGAGGCGGTGGGAGTAGTGGACGAGGCGGGGGACGGGGTGGGGGCCTCAACCCCAGAGAGTGTAGTCAGAACCTCAATTTCTGGTCCGTCTCCTTCCTCCACTATGTGTGGTACTGTGGCAGGTGGCAATGTTGTTGTAGTGGTGGTAGTAGTGGTGGTAGTGGTGCTGGTAGTAGTGGTTGTTGTGGGTGGAGGAGTGGTGGTGGTAGTGGTGTAATTGGTATTGAGGGTGGGCAGGATCCGTATGGCCGGGCGGGTGGCGACGAACCAGGGAGGTCGTGGCCTGGATGTGGTGGTGGTCGTCGACGTGGCTACAGGAGAAATACAAACATCGTTAGTTCACCTGCACACACACACACACACACAACTCGCGTCCCTCTTAACCCACACTACATAAACTACATAACCCAACTGTTCCATACATCATGGCACTTGACTACTACAAAACTGATTAAGTGGTATCACAGTGCCCCATAATGTTACACAATACAATGGAAGTGCCACATGTAATAGACTTATTGCTCAATAACAGTAACAATCATGGAGGCAATAACATATAACACAGAACCACAACATATATAACCTGGGGCATCTAACATATGGCAAACAAAGCTGTGTGTGGCGGCCTGATAGTGTCAGCCACGGACAACACGGAGAGGAGAAGAGGGAGGGGAATGGGGGTGACATAGGAGATGCCTGGGGAGGAGAGGGGGAGTGCTATAGGCCTGGGTTATTAGGTATATTAGGGGGAATAGGAAATAGGTAAGGGGTAGGAGATGGCGAGGCAGGAATAGGCTTTCCCAGGCCTAGGTGCTCTGTGGAAGCAAGGGAGGAGTATCAATATCAGGGGAGGGAGGAAAGGAGGAGTGTCAGTCTCAGGGGATGGGGGTAAGAGGAAGGGAGGGAGGGGGACGGTGCGCGGTGCCATATTAACATGTAAATGGCACTGCGGCCTGCAAAGTTTACGTCGTGGCAGCTCCGTTTTGATGCACTCTTAATGACATTACAGTTTGCCTCTACAGCTAAATGATATAACGGGAATGTTTGAGGGAGAGAGAAACTAACACCACACTGAGACTGAATGGGGGAGGTGGGGGATGAGAGGGGAGGTGGAAGGATGAGAGGGGAGGTGGAGGGATGAGAGGGAGGTGGAAGGATGAGAGGAGGTGGAGGGATATGAGAGGGAGGTGGAAGGATGAGAGGAGGGAGTGGGGGATGAGAGGGAGGTAAAGGGAATGCGAGGGGGGAGGTGGGGGGATGAGAGGGGGAGGCCAGGGAATGCGAGGGGAGGTGGGGGATGAGGAGGGAGGTGGGATGAGAGGGGGGGTGGGGGATGAGAGGGAGGTGGGAATGCGAGGAGGTGGGGATGAGGAGGAGGTGGGGGTGCGAGGGGTGGGGGATGAGAGGGTAAGAGAATGCGAGGAGGTTGGGAGATGTGAGAGGGAGGTGGGGGGATGGGAGGGGAGGTGGGGGGATGAGAGGGAGGTAAAGGGGATGAGAGGGGAGGTAAGGGAATGCGAGGGAAGGTTGGGGGATGAGAGGGGGAGGTGGGGGATGGGAGGGAGGGGGATGAGGAGGGAGGTGGGGGATGAGAGGGGGAGGTGGGGGAATGCGAGGGAGTTTGGGGATGAGGAGGTGGGGAATGCAGGGGGAGGTGGGAGATGAGGAGGGAGGTGGGGAATGTGAGGGGAGGTGCAAGAGATGTGTGAGGAGGTGGGGTAATGTGGGGGAGGTGGGGGGAATGTGAGGGGGAGAGGTGGGGGATGAGAGAGTGGGGATGCGAGGGGAGGTGGGGATGAGAGGGAGGTGGAGGGATACTTGGGGGGAGGTGGAAGGATGAGAGGAGGTGGAAGGATGAGAGGTGGGGGGATGAGAGGGGGGAGGGTGGAGGGATATGAGGGGAGGTGGAAGGGTGGGAGGGGAAGTAGACAGAAAAGAGAGGAAAGGAATGGAAGGAAAGTCGAGGGAGTAGAGAAGTGGGGAGACGGTGGAAAGAGGAGGAGAAGGTGGAAGGAGATGAATGGAAAGTGGAAGGAGGAGAGGGGAAGTGGGGAGGTGGGGGGGAGGAGACGAGGCGGAGGAAGAAGAAATTTTAAAGGACAAGAAGGAGGGAGGGAAAAAAATCAGGAAGGCAAAGTACAAGGAAAGACAGTATGAAATGAAAGGAAAGAATGAAAAGGGAAGATAAAGATAACAGAGAAATATATGACAAAAGAGAAGAACAAACAAGACACGAGGAAGATAGGAGAGAGAAGAAAGGAGGAGCAAGAAGCCAGAGTACCGACTAGTTTATACCAAGTCTCTCCCAAGGTATTTGACGGCCAGTAGACCAATACAACCAATCAAAATAATCCCAAGGTTCATTTCTTATCCCAACTCTCCATGCTAAGTTACTATGATAAATAAATAAATAAACAACAACAAAGGTCCAGTACACAGAGATATATTAAGACCCGCATGCAGGAACAGAACGGAATACAATAATTAAGGCGAGTGTCTCCACCCAACCACAGCGGCAGGCACCACCACCTGTAGCCGCTACAGTATTAGTAAATAACTAGTTTTACCTGTCTTGCACTGGTAGTGGGCCTCCAGGTACTTGTGGGTACCATGGCAGCCGTCGCCAAACCGGGCAGTGTTGGCCTCGATGGTACATGAGGGCTTTCCAGAGCAGCTTGTGAGGGGGGAAGACACACACACCTTCAGATACTATGCTACCATCACCCGGGTTAGTCATGTTAGTTAGATTACGCTACACGTTACTTTGGTTGTTACACCTTGATACTTACCTTATATACGACAGATTCCTTACGGTCATAATTTGTATATCTCGGATTAAACCTAATCACCTCCGACAGGGATACGTATACTAAACGTGGGCGTAAACGTGTAGTGTGAGCGCGGGGCAATGCGGTCGGTAGTATCAACAGACGTGTCAGTCGCAGTAGGTAGAAGTGGTAGCTCGTCGCGTCCCAGGGTCTGGAGTGTAGGATTAAGGACAGCGAAGGATTGATAAGGATGGGGAGAGCGTGATTGTAGCGATAAGGTAGTGTTGGTCGTGGCGGGGAAGGTGCGAGGTCTGAGCTTAACATCGGGCCGGTCCTCTCCCTCATCCCCCACACCAACGTGAATGTCCAGAATTAACCTTTACTACGGCCAGTATATAAATCTGTAATGATATAGTCTCGTAAATTGTCCAGGGGGGCGATAGAGGTGGACGAAACGTTCATCTTAAATAGTGAAGTTTTAATAATGGGCCATCATCCCAGCTGGCGTCCAGGGGGCGGGGCTAGACGGCCCGCCCTGCCAGATGTACGAGACTTGCATGCAACTTAGAGGAAATAAACGGGGGGCTTATTAGATGCTGGGGCCTTGGAGAATATTAAATTAATATATGATAATCCATTATAGTTATTAAAGACTATTTACGACAAGGAACGCGATCATTTGTAGGGATATAGATGTCTAGAGTGAAGTGCTGAATGTTAAGAAAACCGCAGAGAATGAGATAAAAGAGAGAAACAGAGATAGAGATAATGAGAGGGATGGACGAGGGAGGTGAGGAGGGGCCCCATAATGGTGTCGGCTCCACACACCTTTGGCGAGACAATTAACTCGGTGGATCACCTCACGCTCTCTCCAGCCTCCTCTCCTCCTATCCCCTGTGTACTACATACCTCCTCCTCCTCCCCCACATCTTCTTCCTTTTCGCTTTTGATCAGATCAAGATCTTTATCACGATAACGTCTTCCATCACAGTCACACATTTTCCTCACCCGTCCCTGGGCCACTAAACACGCCTCACTAATATACAGCCTTCATTTTTTCTCTCTCCCTCTCCGTTTTCTCCTCCTCCTGCCATTATTATTCTCCATTTTCTCCCCTAATTTTCCTCCTGTACCCCTGTCCTCTTTCTTTTGCCTATTTTCTTATCTCCTGCTCTTCTCAACCTCTTCCATTATTCTTTTTTATTTTTACTACTTCAGCTGTTTTATAATTTCCATTGTTCCTGCTCTTCCTTATCCAGCTTATCCTTTACTTCTGTTTTCCTCAATCTTTCTCTCATCTTTCCTCTCGTTTCTCAATCTCTTCCCTTATCTGTTTCATCATCCTCTCCTGCTCCACCCCTATATGCCCTTCTGGTGGAGGAGGTGGTGGGGTGTGTGGAGGCGTCCCGGGACAATAGGGGAGAGGGCGGAGGCGTCACTATAACATTACTGCAGATTAAACCACGTACAAAACTCATCTCGTCGAAATTTACAACTCTGTAGAAGATCCTCTGGATGGGCGCCTTCATCTCCGTGTTTATGTCCCGATACCTCCACGTCCGTCGGGGGGGATTATGACGCCATAAACTATTTTAAAAGAAGATAATTGTTCGTGTAAAATGTCCAAATACCAGACTATTTTGTCGTAAATCAGCGATAGGATCGAGGGAGGCGCGGCGTCATTGTCGCAAGTCAACTCAACGCACCGTCTTTAGCTGAGAGCAACGCTACCCGCCAAAGAACACAAATAAGGAAGGAAAATAAAGTATAAATAAAGGAACAAACAAAGGGAAATGACTAATAACTAGAAAAGAAGGGGATATTACGGGTTACCAAACAAGTTAAACGGCAGTGTCCTCCATCCAATGTACACTGTATTCGAAATCTTCCGAGGGGACAAACTACTGGCGATCTGACACTGTGACACTCGGGTGATATATTATTCATCGGTGTTCAGTTAGAGGGTTAGTTTGTATCTACGCAGTCACCAGAAGAACCCATTCCATGTTTAGTGAACCCATCGGCTGCGTTAACCGATGGGCTGCTACGCTAGTGAAACAGCTATAAAGTGCTGCGTTAATGAAGCCACAGCCTGGGAATGAATGAGCCAGGGGGTGTGGTGGAGTTTACCTCGGCGACAAGTGACTCAGTACATGAGTTTGAAAGATGGCATTTAAGTCACAGAGCATATCTTATTCTACACCTGAAGTGCCTTTCTCTTTAGTAAACACTTCCTCACACTCTTACTCCCTACTTTAACACTTTGTCGTAACACTTGCTAGCACTGCTCCCCTCTTAGTAAGAACAAAATACACTCATACTTTACCTCTGACGTTTCCCTTGTTTATTTAATTCATAAAACCACTTAATTTTAACTTATGGTAAAAATAAACTCTTAAGCCACTTTGGGTTTAATACAATAATCTAGCATAAAAAATTAAGGTAAATAAGTATTTTTGTTTAAAGAAACTCAGTGTAAAGTAAATCAATAATATTAACTGTACTGTAAAAGGAAAAATTGATAACTGAAATTGACAAAATAATAAGAAAATAGGCCCAAAAAATATGCCATGTAATGAAAAAGAACTTAAACTAAAATATAACCAAGAGTGAATAAAAAAAACAGGACAAGACACAACACATGTACACTGTAAGGTGTGGGAGGAGGAGCAAGACCAATGAAAATCTTCTCATGGTCAGCAACAATAAAAGTCAACTCAGTCAATTTCAATCACATACTCCTAACGTAATGGTGATTCGTGTTAACTAGAAAGGCTCCTTCCATCATCATAACACACACACACACACACACACACACACACTACACGCTAGATGATCACTGACTGTTAATCAAAATATATCCAGCACTGATGAAACATTGACGTAGATAAACTAGACAGATAAAAGTAATATTTCTCGCGGTAAGGTTTGTGTTATTGACTTAAAGGTGTTTCTTATCACAACCAATGATACGCTGTTGTGTTTTGGTCAACTTTGTTTATTTTGTTGTTGCGGTTCAGGGGAGAGATTTTCGACAACATCAGCACATCGACGGTAGTGTCCCCCCCCCTTCCCCATCCCCCACTCTGGCCTTTGGTCAGGTGTTGTGGTCCGTCGTGAGGAAACAGTACCTCCTCCCTCGTTCTCTGGTGTGAACCTTTAACAGACCTTAACTCTCTCCCTAAACGAGCCATGTTAAGACTTTGACGTTGACCTAAATGATTCTGAAAACACCTGGGGATCTTCATCAATAGTAGATCTGACAAGGCTTAAAACGAGTCACTTTAAAAATCCAAAGTTTGGGAAAAATAAAATGTTCGGGGACGTGTGTGTGTGTGTGTGTGTGTGTGACCCGCCAGAACATGGATGTGACCCGCCAGAACATGGATGTGACCCGCGGGACCCACTAGGGACGTACAGGATGATCCAGCAAGGACGTCAGGGGGAGTGGAGAGCCGGTAAGAGGGATATCTACTTTATCTACTTAACGGCTGGGGGCGCCCCTGTGTGTGTGTGTGTGTGTGTGTGTGTGAATATCCCCTCCCTACCCACTCCTTTTACTATTAAGCCATTACCACTACCCTTACTGTACATTTTTTCACCCCGCCAATATCCCTCCACTATCCTCACCACTTCACCGCCCTAATTCCTTCGTATGTAACCATCCACTTTCGTGAAGCTAGATTTCCTCGTCACTGTCATACAACATCTGGCTACTGTCCCTCCAATACTTGCTATCCCGGAAATACCAGGACAGTAACCCTTAAATTCCCATGAAAATACTCAGTTGCTACACCTGTCTACTGTCCGCTGCCCCACTACTACCTACTCCCCCTAATACCCTAAACTGGCTATTATTGCCTTCCAATACTCCAAAACTGTCCGTCAATACCCTCATATCTCCTGCCACTGCCCCCTGCCTAGCTGCCACTACCCACTCACATCCCCTCAATTGCTACCACAGCCCGCCACTGCCCGCCCCGGACACACACCCCTGCGGGCGACAAGCATAATATTACCAATTTGAGGGGGAGTGATCCCGGCGCGTCGTGGCTCTTGCCCGGCCGATGTTTATCGTCAGTGAAGGCTCGGTGTTAACTTGATGGACTATAATTGTGCAAATAAGCATCGACGCACCGCTTCGTCAGAAATTTAAATAATGGACGGGGAAGTGAGGCACGGAAGATCAGGAGGGGGATGGTGTCTGTTCTGCTTGGTGCGCCTGAAACGTTCTCCACCTGATGCGCGGGAACGTTCTTAGCTTGATGCGCCAGGAAGACACTGCTTCGTGGCCCTGGAATGATTTTGCGTTGGATCACCATGAACACAACCCTCATTGTACCAGGAACGTTTTCTCTTTGTTATCTTCTGGACGAGAATTCAAACAATCTGGTCAGTGTTCGGTGCACCTGGACGACCTCGGCCTGGTGCTTCTGGAACACTCTTATCTGGTACACCAAAAAACTTGCTTCCTCTGCATGAGATAAATATAGTGTAGAACTGGAAAACTCTTCCTTTTACATCTAGAAGGACTTCATTTAGCATCTCAGGAACATTAAATCTATATGGTTTGGTTTGATTAAGTTAGGCATGTAGAAGATAATTGCTCCATCTTCATGCTGCATCTGTCACACTGGTGTCCACATTTCCCTTGACCAGTCAGCAACTCGGAACATTGATGCACATTTCCTTGGCTGCCAATAATGTTGTTTTATGTATTTGAAGCAGATTTTCTCGGTGCGTCAGATACACCACCGGGGGTACGTGGAACCATCTTCTTGGCGTGAATGGAACATTTTTCATTGATCAGTACCTAACCCCCACACCATCCCTCTCCTCCTTCGCGGAAAAAAACCCATTACGGCCATCATCCCTGACTGACGGTCGGGGTGTTGGACCAGTGAACACAACAAACCTTGATTTCCTTAATATAATTTGTTTTCGAAGCGCGACCAAGAGAGTGGTGCATGTGTCCCTCCCTCCCTCCCTACCACCTGCCCTCAACACCCTCCAGGAATATATGACGCATCTCGTGTTATACTGTCGACTATTGAACCTCCTCCCTCCTTCCCCCATCTACACTTCCAGGAATAAAATTATCTTTACTTCAATTCCTCCTTCCTTCTCCTCCTTGGTTCTTCTTTCTTTTTTCACTTCTTCCTTAGCCCTCTTCCCCTCCCCCACCTCGCCCAGGGAGCATCGCCCCCTACTGCTCGCCCCCGTGATAATATCCCAAGGCGGCGATAAGCCCTCAGAGCCCCTCCTGATCCTCGACCCACACTTGATCCACTTTCTGATCCACCAGGAGGAATTTATCATAATTCTCTTAAATTATATCAACGATATTGGTGGTAGTGTCTGGTCCATGTTGGTCTTTGATTGTGAGAACGATACTACCAGCTGACGAAGAGGGAGGGAGCGGTGATGGTGACGATGGTGCAACTGGTGGTGGTATAGGTGCAAGTGATGGTGGTGTAGATGGTGTTGGTGCAGGTGGTGCAGGTGTTGGTGTAAGTGGTGATGGTGCAGGTGAGTCCTCTGGGAGATGGACAGTCTCAAGGTATGCATAGGAGAGAGGAGGATGTGGTCAGAGAGGAGGAAGGGAGAGGTGTAGGTGTGTGAGAGGTGGAGACGGGGGGAGGAGAAGGAAGTCGCCACGCATTACTTTCCGGCAACAAGTGGGGGAAGCCTCTCCCTGTGAGGTTGGGAAGAGGAGGAGGAGAAAAGAGAAGGAGAAGAGGAGGAGATAGGGTGGGACGGGAGAAGCTGGACTGGGACGGGGGTGGGGTGCCATTCCCCCGAGGGTCGTGCATCTCCATCACGCCCCCCGCCCACCATAACTCACCCGCGGGAGAAGTAGGGGGGGGGGGAGCAAGGGAGGAGAAGAACTCACCCTCTAGGAGACACTTAGGAGGCTACACACCACTCCTCCGACATCCACCCAACCTCCCCAACACTACTCTGATAAACATTCTCACTCGCCCGGCATCACCACCTCCAGATTAATCTACTTTACCTCTTTTTTTTACGCCTGGAAAACTTTTACAGTCACGAAATCTGAAAAAACCCTCATCTCTTCGCAACGTTTCCATCTAGAAGGAGACTTAAGCAGCACATCCACATCCTGCCTAGTGCTTTAAGAAGCCATCACAATTTGGACGATGGGTCGGGTCTGCCTAGTGGTCCTTAAATCCAATGACGACGCCCCTGAGAGCCATAAGGGAGGCCCACGACCTCCTGACGGGAGCCCTCACGACCCTGAAACCTCCTCCTGCTCTCCCTGCACCTTCCTCCTACTCCACCTATTCTCCCTGAACCTCCCTGTCACTCCTCCTTCTCTCCCTCCATCCTGCTCTGCTTTCTGACCCACAATTCTCACCCACACAGGCAAGTCATTCTTTTAATTCCTTCATCTTATTACATCTTTATTGCAAATACTTTGTCTCACACCCTTAAAGAAAACGCTACACTCGGAATGAAACCTAACCTAACCTAGTTTTATTTCTCCTTACAGCTAAAAAAAATAAACCTACTTTTGTTAATGAATGAGTCCCAGTTGGTTAGTACGTATTTGCTATAAACCAAGTATGTTATTTAATTATTTCATGATATTCAATTATTTCAAAGTAACTTTATTTTGTCAGGTGTTTCTTCATGAGGTACGTCTATTGATAGGTTCAGACACGTTACTATTATCACTATTGCTCAATGACCATGGCTACGTTTCTGGCTAAATAAACAGTCAAAGGTCCAGTAACACTTTGCAATATCTGGCATCAACTTGAGGATCAGACATGTGAATGGTTTATAACTGGTGAAGGCTGATTAACATTATAAATTACGTCAGAATAAAGTTAAAACATTCTGTACAATACTAAGATAAATGTGAGTAACGTGTTAAAATAATACTCCCTCCCTACCTACCTATCTGCTCCTCCAATACATGCCAGATATTGTTAAAAGTGTGGAGCGAATTAAGTCTGCAACTGTACATACATAAAGAAGGCATGACACACATACACACACACACACACACACACACACACACACACACACACACACACACACACAGTATCACAAGAGGATGTGTGTCTTCGTCAGCAACACCTGCAGCAGGCAGATGAACACCCGGCTCACCTCTCAGCCAAGACTCGGTGGGTCCTGGGACTCTGGCAGTTGACAGACCACTCTGTGTTGCCGTGGGCGTTACAGATGGTGATGGAGAAGCGGCCATAGTTGGCCCTGATCACGTTGATCACGTTGCCGGGGGTGCAGTCGATGCTCAGCGTCGTCCCCTCACACGCGTACGCCGTCCTGTACGGCTGACCTGCAAACACAAGACAAGATACGTCACCAACAGTCTTATTTAATTAATCTTAAGAGTATGATTAGTTATTTATTGAACTATACATATATGTGTGTGATAAATTTGTCATTTCTTACACTCAATATTGTTAATGCATTTTTCCTTAATTTTAGAATACTATTAATCATTCCTAACAAGAAGAGCAATGAATTTTATTTCCTTGTGTTGAAAGTATATATATACATACATACATATATATATATATATATATATATATATATATATATATATATATATATATATATATATATATATATATATATATATATATATATATATATATATATACACGTAACAATATACAGTAATCCCCAAACAAAGTTCAGGTAAACAACTTAATATCAAATAAACCTCAGGTAAATTTCCAAGTAAACTCTAGTTAATGGGTGAACTTCGGCTAAACTCCAGGTAAACGCTACTTCACTATACTTAACAACACAGTATCCTGTAAGTAGCGAGCTACTCTTAAAAAGAAAAAATCCAAAAATGAAACTTAAGTAGTTCAGGTAGATGCCAATAACAAACAAGGAAATGAACCAGAAACAGGCAAGATAACTAGTGCCATGTACACACCAACGTTAACATCATCTTTAAACAGTTTTCCTCCTCACAGTGGTCAGTGACGACCTCTACACAGTTAGTCTATAGTTACTGCTGGAGGAACAACAAAACCGTGTTGACTCGGCTGAGCCTATAGCGAGACCTGAGGCACCTGGAAGAATGGAAAGAAACTTTTAAGAGTTGTATAAGTCTGGACGATAAAGAAATGTCCACGGTCTGGAAAGATAGAAATGGAAATACTGGGCCATTCTGGACCACCAGCAACAGTCCGAGAAGATGGAGGCAAAATCCAGAAGAGCTACAAAAGTCTTCAAGAATGACCAAAAAATCGAAACCTATCCTGTAAGATCAACAACATCTAGAAGAAAGGGGTCCCATGAATATTATGAACCCCAGTTTATTTCACAATGATTATACACCCTAACGCTACTCTTGGGGGTCAGCTTAGATAAAATTAGACTAGATTAGATTAGCGTAAGGATGATCAATTCAAAGGTTGAAATACGCTGGGGATTAATCTTCAGGTGATCCAAAGAAAGGTCCGAGGCTGGAAAGAGCTGCAGCAGCAGGCTGGTGGAAAAGCTTATTATAGTAAGGGAGTGAGTGGCAACATGTTGTGATGAATGGTGGCGGAGCTAGACACCATCACTCAGTGCCAGGCCGCCCTCACCACCTGACAAATGATATGGACAAGGAAATTTCAGCCAGCTATCGAAAATATTGCAAGAGACCCTTCATCTACACTGTCAAAGGCCTGGGATAAAAAAAGGAGGAGGTCGGTGTTTAGGATTTACAAGGAGAAATAGTCTTACATATTCAAGAAATTTACCATTGATGGCTAATAATTTGTCCTTGATATTGGTCTAGGGAAAGTAATGGGAAAATGGCACATCAACTAAAACCTAACAGTGTGTAGACTTACCCTGAGAGATGTGTGTGTGTGACGCACCTGCAGGAAGAGGTGGGCAGGGGAACCACACGGACAAATCCCCTTCAATTAACAAGTGGTCAGTGAAACGGGCGAGAGACAATACGTGAACGATGGCGGCGATATGTTAGCGTAATGCCTCCCAGGGGCCGACCGCCGCTACGCCCGGGAGAAGTAAACAATGGGGGACGTAGTGTTAACCCAGGAGGAACACTTAGAAAAACATGACGGGGGCGTGTTAAGGGCCGGACGGACGCTGCTCGGAGGGAGGGGAGGGCGGAGGCAGAGGGGACGATGAAGGAGGTGTGTGTGTGTGTTGGGAGGAGGGGGGGATGGGTAATGGGTAAAAGGAACGATAATGATATGTAGTAATAAAAATAATAACAGTTTGCCGAAAAGTACAGCAGCAAAGGGTGAAAATATTCAATGGATATAAATGACATGTTAGATACAGTGACAGCGGTGTGTGGGGGAGGTACGGGGGAAAGCGAGAGGAAAATATTGAGTGAAGGAATTGAATGAGACAATACTAACTGATTTAAAAGAAAGATAGATATATATATATATATATATATATATATATATATATATATATATATATATATATATATATATATATATATATAGATAGATAGACAGACAGACAGACAGACAGAGAGAGAGGTCAATTGAGGGGGAGGGAGAGAAGTACGATATAAATGGGGTGAGAGAATCGGGGGCAATCTGGTGGGAGCCATTAGCTCAATTACGCTGGTGGTGGGCGTGGGTGAGGAGGGGCAGCCTGAGATAAACCCAGCTGGCCGCTGATCAAAGCCACCAGGCCCATCCCGACCAGGCCCAGCCCCCCCCCAGAGTGTCAACAGTGCAACACTAGCCAATCCCGCTTCGAGGTGGGACTCAATTCCGCAAGCCGGCGTATCGGAAATCAAAGAGGCTTCGGCTGGCGACCGACTCAGCGAGAAAGCGGGAAGGATTAGAGTTTTTTTTTTATTATTATTACCAAGATTTTAGGGGATTTTCCCTGGGAGTTGTGGGGGTGGGAGTCTAGGCTTATTCTGGGTAAAAGGATCTATTTTGCCAATATTCTGATGCCGGCGAGCGATAGCTTAATATATCTTCTTCAACAGGGATACACACACACACACACACACACATATATACATACATACATACATACATACATACATACACAAATATAAACACTAAAAACGCTGGGTGACGGTACAATAACAAGTAGATAAGTACACTCAGGGATTCCGAGCTTGCACTAATGTCTGGTCGTGATTGATTCTAACCCTTTACTAAATTGTTGCCCGAAACACCTGGCACCCTCTACCAGTAGTGGCCCCCAGGCACGCGGGTGGCACTAGCCCCTCAGTGTCACCAAGTGGCTAGGTGGGTGGTCACACACACACACATACACACACACACACACACGACTCCGATAATGTAAACAATATCATTCACTCCTCCCATTCTCAAAGAAAAAAAAAACACATACAAAAGCTTTAAGATACCATCAGCAAAAACAAGGGATAATTATATAAACATCATTTACCCCGAGAACACTTAAAACCACGGCTAGCATCAAGGGGGGTGGGGGCAGGGTCAGGCTCTCAACGAGTAATGACAACATTATCGGGTAAAGGAGACAGGGCTGGTGAGTGCCATGCCGGGGTTGAGGCTGCCAAAACACGACCTCAGCAGCGCTTTGTTCAACACTGGTGGTGGCACTCCCCGGCGGTCAACCACGGATTCCGCAGATTGTCGTCTACTGGAGTGTGTGTGTGGGGTGGGGGGTGGGGGTGGGGTGTCTCAGGTTTGCTCCTCTAACGTGAACTGCTCTCCTTTCTGTTTTGAGATGAGGGTGTGGTGGTTGAAAAGACTGCCCAGTATGGTTGTGTGTTGATTTAGGATTAAGTTAAATTGGTGGTGGTGCTCTAAGGTGTGAGGGAGGTGGTGTATAAAGTGGTGATATGGTTGTGGTGGGGGTTGATTGTATAAGGTGGTGGTGGTGTATATGGGTGGTGGTGGTGGTGGGGGTGTGGTGTGTATAGGGTGTTGGTGGTGGTGGGGAGGTGGTGTATAAGGTGGTGGTAGTGGTGGGGAGGTGGTGTGGGTGGGTGGTGGTGGTGAGGTGGTGTATAAGGTGGTGGCAGTGGTGAAGGGAGGTGGGTGTATAAGGAGGTGGTGGTGGGGAATTGTGGTGTATAAGGAGGTAGTGGTGAAGTGGTGTATAAGGTGGTGGTAGTGATGAGGGAGGTGTGGTGTGCTCAGGTGGTGGTGGTGGGGTGGTGTATAAGGTGTGTGGTGGTGAGTGGGGTGGTGTGTATGGTGGTGGTGGTGAGGTGGTGCCTCAGGTGTGGTGGTAGTAGTGAGGGGAATTGTATGTGGTGTATAAGATTGGTGGTGGTGCAAGTTGAACAACCTCTAAGGTGGTAGTGGTGGTAGTGGGGTGTGGTGTGTACCTTAAATTAGTGATGGTGAGGAAAGTGGTGTATAAGGTGGTGGTAGTGGTGAGGAAAGTGGTGTATAAGGTGGTGGTAGTGGTGAGGGAGGTGGTGTGGGCTCTCCGTGGACTTAAACTTCACCTGCGTCAGCCCGTCCTCTCACCCGGGGGAATTTTATATCATTCCAAGGATCACGCCGGACACACAGCCCATCCTGCATGTGTTATTTCCCCCGGGACATCGCTACGTCTACTTCCTTTCATGTGTCTTCATAAGTAAGCCACAAACGTCTTCTCCCCAGCATGAGATTCCTCGAGAGAGAGAGAGTAGCCCGGTCTATGTTCTATGATAAATAAGTTACGATTTTTATTGGTGCAGTATTATATTAAGGTTCTCAAGGGGTGATGGGGAGCACATATCGTGGAGGTAATTTTCTATGGCATGTTGGGATTACTGTCGTGAGGTGAAGGTAATGACTTCCCCGGCCAGCGCCTCCTGCCTCCCTCCTCCTCACCATCCTCTCCCTGCCCCCCCCACACACACCTGGGATTTATGGCCCAGGTATAGTGTGGCGGGTGGAAGGTGCGGCGGCGCAGGTCTTGACACTAACATCCATAGTGGTGTTAGCAATGTGAAAGTGTAAGGTAAAACGAATATGAAGATAAATTAAGAATACTCGAATGTTGTTGTTTGGGGTATTTATTCATTAACAGTAAAAACTAGTAAAAAAAAACTGGAACAAGATCAGTCTAGTCAACGTAACCATCTATCAACTTTACTTCTCTACAAATTAAATCGGTCAGGCTAGGCACACACCTGACAGTACATTATTACACGATACAGCCTCAGGCGGCCACACCCATACTACTTCACGCTACAACACGGTAGTTAGATGTCTCCGTAGTGGACGGAACATGTCTGTACACTTGTATGTGTACGTACAGTACAGTCACTCATGAGAGTTCGTGGGGGTCCGTGTGTGTGTGTGTGTGTGTGTGTGTGTGTGTGTGTGTGTGTGTGTG